ATACTGCATATTGTAATTAGTTTCAGATTGCATTTCAGTACCAGACAGATACTAGTCAGCATAAAGCAGGTGTTAAAAAGAACGCAAGGAAATATTGAATTAAGAGACTAATATCTAGATGTAAAGGGGTTATTCAGAGTTTTCTCTCACCTTGATTGAATTACAATACTGAGTCAATTGTCACAACAAGAATTCAAAGCCATAGTCTGCTGAAAAGGTAATAAAAATATAAATGTTCAAATTTTAAAAAATGAAATTAGATTAAGATCATTTTTTTCATCTGTTCATCTCCTTCGAGTGTTTCCAGAACGAGCACAAAAAATGCGTGCCCACTGTCAAAAGAACAAGGTGCGTTTCGCTTTTTTAGTTCTATTTAAAACAAGGCATCTGTCTCTTTATTTGAATTCTCATTCTAAATCTTGTGAGGAAATCTACAAAGACTGTTTTACTTCATTTATAACTTTATCATAACGGCTAATGAATGGAAACTACTGAATACAATTCTTAAAATGTTTAATATTTCAAGTTATATTGGTATTTAGATTTATCAATTCAATTTATGTATCTGCATGTTTGCAGTCATGTTTGCATAGTGGATTCGATTATGAACCATAAATCTTAAAGTTGATTATACATGTATGATTTAACATATGTAGTTGATTATACATGTATGATTTAACATATGTAGTTGATTATACATGTATGATTTAACAAATGTTTGTTGGGTTTGAGTCCTTCAACTGCTTTTTTAAAGATTTTATTGAATTTCTTGGTAAAAGTTTTCGTCATACTATACATTATGTGTAATAAGTTTCTGCTCGTATCTCCATCTTGTATGAAGGTACATAATAATAACTAGCTGTAAAAACGGTTCGGTAGAAAATTGAATAACAAATGACTTCTATTTTGCAAGTAATAGCGTTATTAAGATTTTTGTTTTCAAATCGAATTTATTTAAGTTATTGGTCATGACAGAATTTCAATACCCTGCCATTGCAGACAACCAGGATACACTCTATCAATCAGTGTACTTAAATTATAGGATAACCTTTACATGTTGGCTAATGTAAAATTTAGAGATGTTCTTTTAAAATTAGATGTGATGATATTAAATTAGACGTAGAAGATACAAATGAGTTTCAAAACATCAAAGGGAGCATGAGAATAAAGAGAAATCATATGATATAACAATAACGATACAAATCACAAACAAAAAAACATAAACAGATCAATAAGAAAAGACGTGTACTAATCACAAACAGAAAAAAAAATCTTCTGGCATCTAAGCCGGTGGGTGGGGGTGGGGGGGGGGGGGGTTATATCAGGTGCTGGTCTGGAAGGGGGTCCTGATTCGCATGCGTCACCAGCATTGGTGTGCATTCAGTGCTTATTGTTAACATGTTGTGTAAATCTTTTTATTGATATTTTATTTCAAATGGCTCATAAACTTTAAACCAATTTATTTTCGCAAATACTAGTACTTTATTTTGAGTTTACCTCTTTCTAGCCGACTTCGTGGAGATGTATTTTCGCAAATTTCTAATATGTCTTAATGTATTTATTTCAGGGAAAATCCACTATTAAATAATCACGACGATTCATATACGTGTTATTTTTCTACGCGAAAATCGAAAAAATTAAATCGCTCGCGAAAATAACTTTTTTCATACATATTATCTGAGACTACTATTACACAGTCACGTAGTCTCAAAATTACCTCTTTGTCTCAGAATGATGCTTTTCTGTTTTTCGGTCAGATTGTCTTCTCGTGATATCAACAGGTTTTATGAAGTATGTGACGGGTTTTTTTTTCATACTAGTAGAATTGTCATCCAGACAATAACTCTCTTATAAAAAAATACGGCCAATATTTTGAAATACTACATGTTTATGATTTAACAGTAATATTTTTCTGAAACGGAAAAAAAATCTCTTAATTTTTGTTAAAAATGTCATATACTACTGCTGTGACATGTTTGCATCTATCCTGCATTTGTATTATTTCTGGGAAAAAAATGCTGTGATAGATTTATTCAATAATATATTAATGTTCTCATGTTGTGCAAACTAAGGATACAAGTCATTTGGGAGAGTTTTATGCTACCAAGTTTTGTTTATGTACCATAATAAAATTTAGATTCATTATTCAATTAATTTCGGATGAATTATATTCATGTTATATCACGGTTTATAGTCAATCTTCCATAATAATTATTGTATGCTCTATAAAAAAAAATCTTGATTCTACTAGTATGTAGGCATCAGATGGAATAGCAACAAGAGGGTATGGTTTATATATCAACGTCGTGTCAGTCAAAAAGAATATATTACTTTGTCAAGATTTCCAATATAATACTGAGTAAAAAAATAGGATAGGATGTCAGTGCAAACCATCAGCATGTATACGTTCAAGACAATAGTTTAGATAGCAAAATACAAAATAATGTTGTCATCATTTCAGTTCAATACTTAGTGTACATACTTAAATATTGGTTGATATCTATTGATGCCAAGGGTAAATATTAAAGGTTAATATAAAATCGTTGACTCAGGGTCAAAGGTTTGGGAATGTGATTAACTTAAGCTTGTTGAAATTATTTTGCTGATAGTTTTTGCTTTTTTTACGTTTCTCTCTAATTCCTATAGATATTTTAACAATTTTGGCCATACTGACCGATTTGTAGATCTTATTGTGCTGAATATATTTGCTTTTTGACAGTTTCTCTCTATCTATTATAGTTAGTGCAATAAGAAAAAAATAATAATCATTCAAGGGCAATAACTCCTCTCAGGGGTCAATTGGCCATTTCAACCATGTGACTTATTTGTAGGTCTTATTTTGCTGAACATTTTTGCTTTATATTGTTGCTCTCTATCCATCTTTTATTACTGCAAACAAAATGTCATAAAATGGATAAAAATATATAGTCATTCAGTGGCAATAACTCAAAATAGGAGTCAATTGACAATTTCGGCCATGTTGACTTATTTGTCGATCTTGTTGTGCTTAACATCTTTGCTGATTACAACCTTTCTCTATCTATAAAAGTTGATGCAAAAAATGAAGAAAAAATGGATAAAATAATCTTTCAAGGACAATTACTCCTATAAACGGTCAATTGGAAATTTTTGGCCGAGTCGACTTGTTTGTAGATTGTTTTTGCTCTTTAAAATTTCTCTCGATCTATTATGGTTTCTGCAAAAAGACACAAACATGAGTAAAATCAATGGCAATAATTCCTATAAGGGGTTAATTGACGATTTGTCCAACCATTTTACTATCAAGACATTCTTAACTCAAGTTTTCTATAGAAAAAAAATCGGAAAGGGTAAAAATCATCATTCAAAGCCAATTTTTTCTGCCAAGTTGACTTAATTGTAGGTCTTATTGTTCTGGTCATTTTTACTGTTTGAAATTTCTCTTAATCTGTTATAGTTTTCAAGAAAAACCCAAAACTATTAAATTTAAAAAAAAAAAAAACACTTCCTGGGCAAAAGTGTTTTCTGTTTTTTTCTGAAAATTTCGCAGTAGATAGACCTTTACCTGCTGATCATTTTTATCTAGTCAGATTTGCTCTAACTGCTTTCGTGTTTTGAGATATAATCCCAAAAACTGCATTTCGCTCCTACTGTCTATTTTAGGCAACAGCAGCCATGTTTGTTAATGGATCAAATCACAAGAAGTTTGGCAAGAGTTGTACACATGAGAGCGCTAACTTTCTGTATAATCAATATTTCCAAGGGGCATAGCACGTTAAAAAATAATTGATCGGCACTGATTTTCGAACTCGTCCAAGACATTGCAAATATTAACCTATGATATAAGTTTCATAAAAATCTGGCAAGAATTGTACACATGAGAGCGCTAACGATGCAATTTTCTGTATAGTTAATGTTTCCAAGGGGCATAACTCTTTTAAAAATAATTAATCGGCACAGACTTTCGAAATCGCCCAAGACATTGCTAATATAAACTTATGATATATAAGTTTCATAAAAATCCCATCTGGCAATAATTGTACACATGAGAGTGCTAACAATGCAATTTTTCCACATAATTAATGTATCCAAGGGCATAACTATTCTAAAATTAATTAATCGGCACTGATTTTCGAACTAGTCCAAGACATTGCCGATATAAACCTATGATATGAGAATAGAACATGTGAGAGCGCTAATAAGACCGGACGGACGGACGGACAGACAGACGGACGGACGCCGGGTATTTCTATGTACCCCGCAACGTGTTGCGCAGTGGACAACTACATATCCTAAGGAACATTTATGCAAGGTTTGATAACATTTGACTTAACAGTTTTAGAGATTTTTTTTTTAAGTTTATGACGGACAGGCGACTGCTCCCGAAAACAGACGACACGCCAAGTGAAAGCAACAGCTGACATGGCCTCATAGGATTTTTAACATAAAGTGGCCATTGTTGAAAATGCAAAAATGCAGATGAGTGGCACATGTCCATCAGAGGCTCTAGTTCTCAATTTATTGAGTACTCACAAAAGACAGTGCTTTTGTTGAATATCAAAGCACAACAATTAACCTTGTTAAATTATATACATGTCTGCCCAATGTCTGTAATTAGTGGTTGTAGTTGGTTGCTGTCTTGCTGTCTTGCTGTCTGTCATATTTGTTTTTCGTTTAATGTTTTGTCAAAATCAACCTGTTAATTTATTGCTTCACATTTTGTAATGTTAGGGCCTAAAATTCCTGTCTATACAGAATGAGTTTTACTCATTTTTGAAGACTGTGTGGTGACCTACAGTTGCTTAAATCCGCTTCATTTGGACTCTGTTGGATAGATGTCTCATACCACATCTCGCCTTTATTCTATAATGAATCGCATAAATCTCATCTGTGCAGTGAAGTTACAATCATCTAAATAGCACTTTTTTGATGTAGTGGTTTCTTTTCCATATTTGTATTATCAATAATAACAAAAACATATTTTCAAATACTGCAATCATTATGGAGTAAAAAAAAAAAGCCAAGATTTACATGTTTATTAATGGCAGTGTGCTACACCAGTCAACAATCAATTAACAAAATTCAAAATCTCATAAAAAACAAATTTCCAGATTAATTTCAATAAAATGTACATAAACAAATGCATATACATCCAATTATACAAATACAATCATCAAAATTGGAATAGCTAACAATAATCAATGACATTAATGAAGAAATAGCACTGATTTCCATATACTTCAATCAATTAAGCAAATATAAACATAGTTTTGTCTACTGAATATTTCATTTGTAAAAATATCAGCCAAACACATCTCCAGAGTTACCAGTAAATAACCATTTAAATATATCATATATCATGTATATAATTGTAGTTCTGTTATAAATTAGATTCAATATAAAAATGTGTCACAAAAATATGTATAATTCTTGGCATTTAATTAATAATGCAAACTTACATTGTAATCATCAATGATAATTTTACAAATTACAAATAGAATTAAAAAAAAAAAAAAAAAAAATAAACAAGAGTCTTTCTAAGAGCCTGAATTTCTCATCTGGAAAAAATATTTAATATTTATTTTTTTATTTTTTTTCGCAATCAAAACCCTCCTTTATTTAAATGGCCTCCTCTAAGAAGTCATCATAATATCAAAGACCACAAAATATTATTTGTAGATTTCAATTTGCTTGTTAGCCCAACTGGACAAAAGGGCAAAGTGAGCTTTTCTCATCACTTGTCCTTTCGGCGTCCGCTGTCTGTAGTTGTTAACTTTTACAAAAATGTTCTCCTCTGAAAATGCTAGGCCAAATTAAACCAAACTTGGCCACAACCATCATTAGGTATTAAGTTTACAAAAATGTGTCAGATGACCAAGTTTGCCATCCAACATGGCTAAAAATAGAACATAGCCCTGGATAATATGCAAGTTTTGGATATTAACTTGACAATTGCTATAAATAGAGAAAAAATCTGATAGAGGCAAAAATGTTCAGAATGATGAGATCTACCTATTGTCCATTTTTACATCAAAACTGCCAGACAACTTCTTGCCCTTAAATGATGAATTTTGCCATTTTTTTCATTTTTGCCTATTATCCTGAAAATCATAATAGATAGAGAAACTTTAACAGTAAAAGTGATTATCATGACAAAATCTACAAATTAGTCAAATGTTTAAAATCATCAGATAATTTCTAATTGCCTTTTAATAATGATGATTTTTATCAATATTTTGCATGTTTGCCTAATATCTAAAAAATTATAATAGATAGATAGAAACTTAAATAAGTAAAAATGATCAGCAAAACAAGATCTACAAATAAGTTTACAACATTGAAATCGTCTGACGACCCCTGCAGTTATTGCCCTTTAAGAACTATTTTTACCAATTTTTTGCATTTTTGTCTAATATCTGAAAAACTATAAAAGATAGATAGAATCTTAATTAAATAAGCAAAAAAGATTAGCAAGACAACATCTACAAATAAGTCTGCTGGCCGAAATTGTGAGTTTAATCCTTATTGGAGTTCTTGTTCTATAATCTCTTGCTCTGGTAAACAGGCGGAAACCCAGTTGAAATAGAACAAAAGAATCGAAGCTCTTTGTTAGAGAAGGCAAGAAATGCTTACTGTAATGTTTACTATAGTAACAAAAATTTTAAAAGTTAATAGAAACAAATAAAATGACAGTTTTCGGCTAAATTACGAAGTATTTAATCATAAAAACACCATTTGCATAAGTTTTCAATTTATCTATTACATAATTAAGCAGAACAATTAGATATCAAGTCCACGACATGGGTGTCTATTCAGTTGGATCTAAAAAATGCATATCCTCCGATTTAAAAAAAAAAAAAAACCACGGACGGAGAACATATCAATCTATTTGTTCCTTAATTTTCGTTTCTGCCCTTCCATTATGTGACTCAAGAAATAATTCCAAAAAATGGGTAACAATTGCATCGAAAAGAGAAAATCGAGTGCACTTTTTTATGTTAGGGCGTGTTTGAGTTGAATATTTTGTCTTGAAAACGTAAAAAGCAAAAGTATTTGATACATCATCTCGCTTCAGATTCTATCATTTTTATACAATGTATATCAAGTTAAGGCTACAGGTTGACTTTATAACATCGAAAATTCACAGTACTAAAAAAATGAAATATATGGGTCAAGTTAAATACCTTTCTAATGAATCACAGAAACAGAATAGGTGTGGTCGAATAGCAAATTTTTACTAAAAATACTTGACAGACTTTTAAGTTGGATCTTAAAAATGCATATCTTCGAAAAACTTCATTTTTTTTGTGTGATATCTAGGGTTTATAGTCTTTAACCACTGAAAATTTTTAGTCTGCCCTTCCACAAAATATTGAATTAGAATTTATTTTAAATGTTTATGAATTTTCGAAAATTCCACCTGACAACCGATCAGACAATAGTTTTAAGTTGACTAAATGTAGACAAGTACATTAACTGATGCTCATTAGCTAGTAGATACATTTGTCTTTTAAAATACAACTGGCATATAAGGATCGTAATGGTGCTATGTCATGTATGTGGATAAATTTATCGGTTTTCAAGAGCTAAATTGGCAGCGCGTCATCTCTACAATGGCTTCCATTTTTACGATTGTAAAAATGAACTGGCATAATGGGGAGATAATTTTGACAAAGTAGAATCCTGACTGTAAGAGTTTCTATTTATCTGCTATAATTTTCCAGATAACAGGCAAAAATTGTTATTTAAGGGCAATAACTCTTCTAAGGAGTGGTCTGATGGTTTCAGTCTTTGTAGCGACTTTGTAGATTGCTTACGTTTTTTTTCCTTTCTATTATTATAGTGCCCTAGATAATAGACAAAAAAACAAATATAAAAATCAATTATAAATTGCACTAAAGGGCAATAACTGATAATTTTTCTTTCCATAGAAAACTTGCTATTAAAGAATAAAGAAAATGTCTTTTTTGTCATATTTACAAAATTGTAATTCTGTGAGAAAACTCCTCTCAAAACACCGTTTATGCATATATGTACATATGGATGATGTAATTGACAGTAAATACAACCTCAAATGATAAAAGTAAAATGTTCTTCAAAATGATTATGAAGGTATATAAAATGCTAGAAAAAGGTGAAAATAAAACAATTGAATTCTAATCCAACATTTTACTACTAGTCAGATCTGGATAAAAATTGCAAACCACTATACACAAGTGACATCATGAAATACTAATGTTACCACAAAATGTAAATTTTTACAAAAAAACATGTTCATGAATGATTTATTCTATAATAATAATAATGGTTCATAATTTTATACATCTAAATGTTCAATTTTTTTGTTATTAAGAGAATTTAGTCTGTTAGTGTTGATTGTAGAACTATGAATATTTTTGTTTTATTCATTCACTAATATTATAAACATAGGAAAAGAGTGTACACCTGACATATCATATAGATGCTGACTGTTGCTGAATACTGTATGTTCACTAGTATCTTTTGGATATTTTTGTTGTTGAGTTGCTGTCTCATTTGGGTGTACACCACATTTTCTTTTGTCCATATTGTCAATAAAATAAGAAGAAAAAAATACATATCGGAGATACATGTAACCCTAGAAATCTGTATGCATAATACAACAGAATTTACACAAATTACATGTTTCAAAGCTATATGTAAACAACATAATCATAGTTAATCTACAATTGTAGCAAAAATGTTATTGTAACTTTTCTATGTTTATTCATACAGTGAACATTTATTAATTCAACTGTGTCCAGTTGTTCCCAATAAATATACTAGAAGATATACGAAGATGTCAACAATTTTCATATCTTTGGCTCGTGGTAAATATTCTTAGTATGGACCTTCATCATCCCCACATTTTGATAAAAGGTTTACAACATCATTGCATGCAGAGGTTCCAAAGGTTTTTTGGACCTCAGTGGTCTTTTGGTCCAGTAAATGTTCAACAATTACTGGTCCGGTCAGTAATTTAGCAGTCTTTTACGTTATGAGCATTACAAAATTCTTACATCTACACTGGTCATTTGGTCCAGTAATTGATGAAATTTTACTGGACCAAACCATTTATTACTGGACATTGCCACATGTCTGACAGACCTTGGGAATGACTGTGCATGTAATTTCTTTCTGTTATTTTAACATTTAACAGAGTTCTATATGAATATCAAAAGGACGTATAACTTTGTGATGACTGTTAAATCTTTATTTAAAGTAAAGCTGAACGATTTAGTGTATTGCCAATATTGGCCTGATTTTAAGATTTCTATTTATAGCATGTGTCTCAGATCTATATTTAGCTGTGTATATTTTTATTTTAAATATTTACAAACTAGTGGATATCAATAAGGCTTTCATCCAACATACAAATGTAGAAATATAAATCTACATTGGAATAAGCTGGCCATTTTTACATTTATCATGATTAATACAACAATATCTGAAACTGTTTAAAATTTTCTTCCTAAAGCAAACCCCAAAGATAAGGAAAATAAAAGTGAACATTAGCACTGTCACTCTCGTGTTGTAATCATCTTTATCAACATAGAAGAAATTCAAATTGATAAAAGTATTATCATCCTCCTGATTATGTTTCCTCCATTGTTTTCCTGCGGCACCAAGTGGATCTGGAATGATTGCCTGATCAAAAGGTCCATGTTGATTTTGTATTATCCATGCTTTGTCCACCACACCATTGTCCATAGCTTTATTAGCAGTCCAGAATAAATGTGTGTCATTGAAAGCTTTGACTTTACCATAGATTTCCATCTCCATTGCTGAAACAACATTGGCTGACCAAGGTCCACCTGGCTTAGAGCTAAATTCAGTCAAATACTGGTTGCCAAGAGAACCAACAATTAAATGGATTGTGGCTCTTGGATTCCTATTACTGAATGCCAGAACTTTATTTTTATAAACAGGATAAGTTCTCTCATATAAGTGCTGATGTCCACTAATAAAGAGATCAACACCATTCTTGTAAAACACATCCTCAAGCCTAGTTCTGATAACAGAATCAAACTTCCGACAATCTTCACTCTCATCATTAACACTACAATACATTGGTCTATGTCCCAAAACAATTATCCATGGCTGCTTGCTCCGATCCTCATTTACTGCTTCCAGATCTTCTTCAAGCCATTTCATTTGTCTATCAATATTATCTTTATCTAGGAAAAACACTTCAGTAGATATGCAGACAAAATGTATCAGGCCAGCATCTAAGCTATACCATAACTGGTACATTGGCATTGGCCAACCAGCATTAGGAGTTGAAAACCTAAACCTATAATGGTCTTTACTCCCGGGAAACAATTCATGATCTCCCGGAATAGTCATGTATGGCACATGAGCTGCCATTGGTTGAATTGCATTAAGGAATTTATCTCCCCTTTTCCCTCCATCACTACCAAGATCATACGCTATATCTCCTATGTGAAAGATAGCACTATATTTTTGTGGATCAAGAATGACTTCATGTTTCAGAAACTGAAGGTTTGCTGAAAGTAAACCAAGATCTCCATAAATCATGTATGTCAGAGGTTTATTTACATCTGGGATGGTAAAGCTATATTGGCTGCTTGTAAAATCTGAATTCTGTCCAAAAACCTTGTAGAAATACTTTTTACCAGGAGTCAGATTTGCAATGTACACCCTGTGGAGGTATTGACATCCTAGTGGATTTCCTTCGAAATGGATTGTCTCCCCTTTAATAGCCTGAAATTAGAAGACAGTCAGTGAGATAAAGGTCTAAATTGAATGCTGGTTCACATCTCCTTTTATTCATAATAAAAGAGAAAAACAGCTTTCCAGAAAATATGGCAATGTTTCTATGATTATCATATAGTAAACCATCAAAATATTCCTACCAAAAGTACTTTTACGGCTAAGTACTAAAGAGAGCAAAATTGTTGGTCTGGACTACAGTCAGATTCCTAGATTAACCATGCAATGGGTTGGGTGCTGACCATTACTTAATGTTTAAATATGTATAAGAAATAATCATTTCAGGGTTCGACATTAACTTTTATACCAACTTGTCCAGTTGGGCAAGTGCCCTTTACTTTTACTTGTCCGAAAGTGAAATCTACATGCCCAAGCTTTTACATGCCAGGGTTGATTGTTGTGCCATGATAGCAGCAACTAGACTTGACCACTGAGATACTATGAGGCATATATGAGCCGAGGAGGGAGGGAAAAGATCGAGGAATATACGGGAATTGGATCATTTACATAGAGATACTTATTTCATAATAATTTATCTAAGAAATGCCATTTAAAAAAACCCTTCTTAATAAACTGACAACTGACAAATTTGTTAAAGTTTAATTTCATTTTCTCTTTCAAGCTTTTATGTTTTCCATCTTCATGATCTTAGGGAAATACACATTCGATGTCAAATTCTAAAGTTAGAACAACGAAAATAGACCTCCGCTTTCCATTGATCGGTGGGAATAACACGTGCGTCAGAAACGCCAGAGTGGTGTCCCGATTAATAACGATAATGACGAAGCAAAGCCGTGGCCGCCTGATTGGCCAATATTTTTAAACGTGATCTATTTTTGGTAAAATGGGGAATTCAGTGCGAACAAATGACGAAATATACGCATTGAAGGGGGGTTAAGACCACTTTACTCGACCGTGCGGTGTTATCACTGAGTAATCTATGGACAAAACAACAGACACTATTGATTTTGTGAAATTTTAATCATATAACAGTTTTTTTTTCACTTGCCCGATCGGACAACCAAGATGGTGTTTTTACTTGTCCGAATACGGCATTAACTTGCCCCGGGCAATAGGACAACCGTAAGTGTCAGACCCTGCATTTTATCCTTTTAACAGTCAGGGATATAACTCTATAGGGTTATTACAGAAAATAACTTGCATGTGTTATTACAGATACTTTTATGAGTTGTCTACTCTTTAATCCTTAAATTTACTTAATCTGTAATAACATATGTTTGTTATTTGTAAAATAAATCATAAATATTTTTATTTTTAGTGTGCTTTAGGGAACTCTTGAAACTTTGCACAGAAACTAAATGCATATAGCCTTGATAACTAACTATTAATTTAGATTAATACATTTTTCATTAACCATGGTAAACCAATGAGACAAGGCTTTTAAGTGATTAACTTAGCTGTAATAACAAGGCTTAGTTATTAAAGGCATGTAACTTATCAAATGAGACACTTGGGAATTACTGGGAAGCTTGCGCAGAACCTCATTACATGCTCTGATCATTACTTCTTACAATAAATTAAAATACATTGTAATTGAGCATGATCTATGTCTGAGCAAATGCTTTGAAGTGATGTAGAGAAGCTGTAATAACACCCTTTAGTTATTACAGGCATATTTGTTCTGTAATAACATAGGTGTGATATGCATGATTGGCAAACTATGAACTGTTATATCTTTCTATAGTTAAGTATACATAAAGACAGTAGCAATATCAATAGAACTTGTATACATTTTAACAAAACTAATGATGTATATTGTCCCTTTGAAACATGTAACATACATATGTTATCACAGTTCTTTGATTTTTTTGTCCACAATAACAAGCGTATGTTATTTTTCTCTAATAACCCTATAGAGTTATATCCTTGACTGTTTAATGTGCTTTTCTCTCATATAATTTTGTACTGAAATCCAATATCATACATATATTACATTTGACATAAGACGGAATAAATTGTCAACAATAATAATTAAAGAGCCTTAAGTGAGTAGGCTCTGTCCCATTTGCAGAATTTGAATTTGTTAAATGTTAAAAAAAAAATGAGCTTCTGGAAAACCCTTTTCTGCACAAACTGCATTTTATTTTCAGGAACTTAGACCTCTCTTAGTATATCTAGCATATTTACTTTTTTCATTACCCATAAAAGGCTTTATATATATGAATTGCAGCAAATTGGATCAGAAATTTTGTACACACCCTCATAGTGGACAACACAGGTTACCTATCAAACATGCAAGATCATGCTTGTCTTATCAATTCTTACAGGAAAAAGATTTGTTAGTTAGATCTGTAATATCAAAAAAAGAACATACAACAATGACCATTTGTACAGTACAGTAATTGCCTACTTTGGTTAGGTTAAATCATTACCAACATAACCAACCTTATGAATATACACGTCTGTTACACACGTACTGTTGATATCCTCAACATTAAAGAAAGCAATCATTCCCATTTTTCGGGGAAAAAAACTATGCAAGTTTGTAAATAAAATGCTTCGCTGAGCGCAGCCAGATACGACCACAGAGGTCTAACCCTGAACAGCTGGGGCAAGTTTGGACACAATATTCAAGCTTGATACTGTCTGAATTTGGATTGTGATCAAATTTTTGACATAATATAGGTTTCTAAAAATTTGAAATGGGACATTTAATTTACCTAGAATGGTCTGATATCCAAAATCTAACAACATGGTTAGATTCAGCATATATAAAAAAACACCAATAATTTATTTATTGTTGAAATCAAACAACGATTAATTTTGGACCCTTCAAACCTTAATAAGAACTAATTTGAAAACTGGGCCCAAAATAAAAAATCTAAATGCACAATAAGATTCAGCAAATCATACAGTCGCAATAATTCAGTTTTTGATGAAATCAAACAAAGTTTAATTTTGGACCCTTTTGACCTCAATGTAGACCAATTTAAAAATGGGGCTCAATATCCAAATAAGTAATACAAGGTTAGAACCCCCAAAAATTAAAGATTTTAAATGAATCCCATTAAAATTGGTTAAAAGATTTGTATTTATTTTCAACTGAAGATTTCTTGCTATTGCGCAATACTGTGCAATTTAAGATTTCTTGCAAATGTGCAATACTGTGCAATTGAAGATTTCTTGCTTTTGCTTAATACTGTGTTGTTGCGCAATACTGGCCAATTGAAGATTTCTTGCTATTGTGCAATACTGTCTAATTGAAGATTTCTTGCTATTGCGCAATACTGTGCAATTGAAGATTTCTTGCTATTGCGCAATACTGTGCTATTGCACAATACTGTGCAATTGAATATTTCTTGCTATTGCGCAATACTTTGTTGTTACGCAATACTGTGCAATTGGAGATTTCTTGCTATTGAGCAATACTGTGCAATTGAAGATTTCTTGCTATTGCGCAATACTGTGCAATGGAAGATTACTTGCTATTGCCCAATACTGAGCAATTGAAGATTTCTTGCTATAGCGCAATACTGTGCTATTGCTCAATACTGTGCTATTGTGCAATACTGTGCTATTGCGCATTACTGTGCAATTGAAGATTTCTTACTATTGCGCAATACTGTGCAATTGAAGATTTCTTGCTATTGCGCAATACTGTGCAATTGAAGATTTCTTTGCTATTGCGCAATAATTTGAAATTTCAAAAATTTTGAAGAAAAAAAATATGGACCCCCAAAAAAAATTGGAAAAAAAAATCCCCCAAAACTTTTTGAACTCTCTCCCCTTGGAGTAATTAACCCAAAATTAATCCCAGCCTTCCCTTTGTGGAATGGAACCTTGTACAATTTTAGAGAGATCCAAACACTTGAACACAAGTAACTGTCTGGAAACTAGAAAAATGCTTGTTTTTGGCCCCTCATTCCTGGACCGTTAGGGCAATTACCCCCAATCCCAGCCTTCCCTTTGTGGTATGGAACCTTGTGATAGATCTATACACTAACACACAAGTTATTGTCCGGAAACTACAAAAATGCTTGTTTTTGGTCCCTTTTTGGCCGTAATTCCTAAACTGTTGGTGCCATAACCCCCAAAATCAATCCAAACCTTCCTTTTGTGGTATTGAACCTTCTGGTAAAATTTCTTAGAGATCCATTCACTTAAACTAAAGTCATTGTCCGGAAACCAAATGTGTCTTCGGACAACGCTGTCGACGACACCATAGCATTATACGACGCAAAATATTTTGTATAAAAACTACTGTTAGATTGGTAACAGGTTAGGTGGATTTGTAATAACATGAATAACAAAAATAAGTGCAAATCTTTAATTAGGTGAGACATGTTGCCCATCATACATGTATATATATTTTTTTCTGTTGTTTTTGTGTGGCTTTCTATTGTTGTTGTATTTGCATATGGTCTACATCTTTATTGATTCAAAGGTATTTTATCATGAAAAACAAAAACAAGCGTGCTGGTAAAAACGTTGTGGAGATCATTTGTGGCAAATATAGTCGTACTGCCAACACAGAGTAGTCTATTCTTTGAACAAAGCACTGTTTTAAAACAAATAGTTCTAATAAACTCTACATACAATGTACTTTATCACAGTTGCATTTTATTAGCCATCAATTATATCATCAGTATTATATTGATGGGATGGCAGTAACTGAAAGATGATAATTAATTATTATGTCTAAAAGGGACATTGCATAGTGTAATTATTTGGTGTACAAAACCAACGTGCACATTGCTGCATCCGTTGTTTGTGATGGCTGCCTCGAGTGGTTCCATAAAAAATGCCCGCCAAATGTGCAGACATTGCCATTCTAAATAAACTGTACAACGTAAATTCACTATTGACTCTACTGTATTATTCAATTAATTTAGAATAAAAAGGTTTTCAAGTTGTACATGTATTTTAATATTCATGATATTATTTTTATATTCCATAAGGTACCAAATGGCATACATATAAATTATCCATGAGGTACAAAGTGGTCATGGTACAAAATGGTTTTTGCTACGTAGGAAATGGTATCGGGTCCGTTCGCCCTAATAACATATTCACCCTGGGTTCGTTCGCCTATTGAAATATTACAGTTATCAAAGCTTTATAAAACATATTCAAATATTTATATGGTAAATATTTAAGAAAACATATATTTTTCAAGTCATGAAAAAAAACATGGAAATATTTAAAAATTAATGGCTTGTTTAGCATTGTACTAGTCATGCATTTGTTTTCATTGAGAATTACTTTTAATGACTGTAGATTGTAATTTAGAATGCTGATTATGTATAATTATGATGTCTTTGATCTCATTGATTGTTGTATCAGTTGTCTTTGATGGGTTAATAACAATAACAAAATTAAAAAAAAAAACCAGAGACATGTAAAATTCAAAAAGGTGAAACCAATAGCTTCTTTGATCTCAAGTTTGTTTTATTTAGATAGTAATTCAAGGTGTAGAATGTAGAGAGAATGGCTTGGTGATTGTGTCTTTTTAGTTTAATTGTTTTTTTATTGAATATTCCTATGCAGTGCTCAACAAAATAATAGTGTTAGGACATAACTGTGATGCAAATGACTAAGTTCGAATTGGATCTTGTTATATAACTGTAAATGATTGTTCCGAAATTTAATTGTCAAAATGTACCAATAAAGATAAATTAAAAAACATACAGATAACTTGATTTTCAATTGTTTTATATCAAATATCTTGTATTTCTGTACACTTCATTGCACTAATACGCCAGTTCCGGGATAAGGTAGCTAGTTGAATCTGTCATGTGACTTCCATCACCATGTGACTAAAATGTAGGCATCATCACTTCCAACACATGTTGAGCGAATTGGTGAAAAAGTTTAATGTATACTGCACAAATATTCGGGTGATAAAAATCTAACTAGTTGCACCCTCCCTCTAGTGCAGGGATACAGGTGCGCCTTCTATCTTGTAAATGATGTCATAAAGACGTGCGTAAAATTTTGACGATCTTTTCCGGTGAAAGACATGATTCAAGAAATAGCCTATCGAAAAAATAATTATCTGGTAGCAGCATAAATATTCGATGAGATTATCAACTATCTTAAACATACATTTACTTCAATCAAATAATTTACATAGAAAAATAATTATCTGGTAGCAGCATAGATATTTGATGAAATTATCAACCAACTTAAAATACATTTATACTTTAATCAAATAATTTACATTTTACAAGCAACAAAATAAAATAAAAATCAGGGCAAAACAGATGCACGGCGAACGGGTATAAGAGCAAAACGGACCCAGTGCGAACAGGTTCTATAGTGGACGTGAAACAGGCGAATGGACCCAGATTTGTAAGAAAAGGTTGGTACGAAATGACTATATATATTGGACTATATTACGAAATATTTAAGGAATACCTTAGCATTTGTGTTTCCTGTATAATATTCTGCGACTGATGAATCATTGTTTCTAGTTGACCATAAAATAATTATGTCCGTTAATCGCTGACCAAAGCCAATGTGGATTTGTTGTGGTTCATTTACATTAGCAGCTGGTTTTGGCTTTACAAAGTCTCCCCTGCAAGCAGTTAATACAAAAATGGAGTATATCAGCCATATCAGTTTTGAAGAATGCATTATTCTTTAACTGAAAATAAAAAAGCACATCAAGATTGCTGGCATTTCAAATATATTCATAGTTGAGATTTTTTTTTAGCTTTTTTATACGTCATTATTTATCCCGGAAGTCAGTGAGGATTCGGGTTTGCGCTCCATTTTCCGATGATATTTTTTTCAATTAACGTTTACAATAACATTTGAGGGTAATAAAAAAAAGTCGAAGACAATTTTATTTGCTCACAGATGTTCTGTTTGCAAGACATTTCCTCATTCAGAACAGTATTAACCGGGGAATTGACTTAAGAAAGACCTTCCGGTAAAAAAATTCCGGATTGAATTTTCCTTGACACCGGTTTCGATTTCGCAAAGACACAGCGATATATAAAGTTTGCAATTTGCCTGTAGCATATTTTTGTTTATCGAACAATTGTCATGTGATGAGTGACCAAACCTTCTATTCATATATCAAAGATACAGTTACGTCAGACTATATCTATTCAGTGTTTCAGCAAGTGAATATCGTAATTTTATCCTGGTTAAAAATTGATGTTGGAGATGTGCAAAGCACCATACTGCTCTTTTTATTAGCCTGGTTATTGGTCAACATAATCCTTATAAAGATTGCATGGTCATTGTATGGTCAGCACATTTGCGAGAAGTTCTTAAGACAGGGTTAGTAAAATAACAACAGAATTTTCCTAGATTCTATCATATTGTAATGGAAACCTCTTTGCTCTAAAATTTTATTAACATATAAAAATAAGGAGATGTGATATGATTGCCAATGAGACAACTCTCTACCATAGTTCAAATGAAGTGGATGTAAGCAATTATAGGCCACTGTAAGGAATTCATCAATGAGAAAAACACAATGTGACAGGGTATTTATATTTATATATCCTTAAAACAAAAAAGACACAAAGTACAGATATCAGTGCTCCTGCTAGAAATTGAAAGGGGCAGGGTGCCAGTGGAGGGCAGAGCACTTTTTTATGATAGGAAAAGGCACTGCTATTTTTTTTTGTCTACATTTCTGTGTGTATCACAAGTTCACATTGTTTTTTTACTGTATATGTTGACAATAAAGATAATAAATTGTTTTGATTATTTATTCTATAAAATTTGTATTAGAAAAGTCATTCATACTACATATTCATAATACATGGCAATACATGTTCAACATCACATCACTATTAACCAAAAGAGTCAAAATAACTATAACTATAACCCCCCTTCCAAAAAAAAACCAGCATAAACTAAACATCTCATATTTTAGAGTTGTCTCATTTAAAATTTTCAGCTAGAGTTTGGCCCTCTCAACTTATTTCATAGTTCCTGTCAATGAATTATTTAGTATAACTTCATCCAATTAACTTGTCATGATAGTTTCAGCTAGTCCTATAACTAGATTTTTGTAGGATTTCAGCTTAACAACTTTCACCAAATATAATTATAATCTAAATTGACAATGTCTAGATAGAACATGGATTGATAAAAGTATGATTATCAAAAATGAATTGCAGTATATTTTTTTTTTGGTATGTTCAAAGACAGTTTTGATCTTTAAGGTAACATTCTTATATAATTTTGTATTTAATTGATACTTTATTCCTATTTTCAAAGATAGATAATATTTTAGGAGCACAAATTTGTAATAAGCTAAAACAGGGGAAGTAACTCCAAAATTAATTTCCAACACGTTTACGATGAAGTTGAAAAGGACGGTGTTTCTGTGAAGGCATAGTTGTATTTTGATGACTTAAATTCTAGACTATAGTCATGAAAGTCTTCATTTTTACACTCTTCCATTGGGACTTGGAGATCGAAAATGCTGACCCAAGCTTAAAACACTCGCCGACACATTCATCAATTTATATTCAATTTGACGAAGTACATTGTCTTAATAAAATTACCTAGTTATTAACACCTTTGAAGTCTAATCAACTGTAATTGATTTTAATGACATGATTAACCTGGGGGCAATCACCAGGTGTCATATATGTAATTTAACTTTGTGATTAGAAATCGATGAGACAAAAAACAATTTTACCAGTACATTGCCAAAACGGCACAAGGGTTTTTTGGGAAAAGGCGTCAGGGCAGAAGGACGCGGCACCCTTCTATTTTGGGCTAACGAGACCACTGGATATGAGAGTACTTGCAGTTAATGACAACTAGTTCATCTCCATGTCATCCTTTTACAAGTGAAAGGTAGTATTGGTTACAATGGTTTAGAAGTATTTGGCTAAATTAATGGACTAAATATCAATAGATGTCTGATTATCATGATTATTGAAAATAATACTGTAATTTCCAATATTAATTTTAGGAGATTTGTTATATGGTACTACAGTAAGATCTGACCTTCACTTAAAAAGAGAATAAAGTCAAACATCAAGATGTCAGCCATAAAGAAGTTTTTTCAGAAGAAGAAGATGGATTTTAAGTTTAAAAAGTATGGTGAGGGACATAAATTAGATGAGCCAGTACAAAGACCCCCACCTACACAGAGGTCTGTATCACAACCAGGAACCAGTAGCCAATCACCAATTTCTCCCAGAGGAGATGCTTCTGTGACAGAGGAGAAGAAACGGGCAGCAGCTGCAGCACTGGCTAGAATGGAACAGAAAGAGAAACAATCTAAACAAGGTACATGTAATGCTTGGTTGGAAATTTACTTGTTCATTTGTTGTGTTTTAACTTCCAAAGTTTTAAAAAGCTAATGCTAGTACATATATACAAGGCAACAATTTAACAGATTTTGAAATTTTAATCTGGGCAACTTCAGTATGGTGAATATTTTTTGTACATGTATTTGATATTTGAGAAATAAACCATTGTAGTTTATCAGGTTCTATCAGAGACATAAATAATTCAAAAATTACTTTTTTCCCTAAAAAATGGTGAAATTAGAAAAATTCAAAAGAATGGAATGATACAAGTTTCTTTTTATGGTTTATCTGTCCAATTTTGTGACTTAAAAATGGAAAATTTGAGGTGTTGGTATTATGCCATTATGATTTTTTTATTTGGTAAAATTAAATCCATTGAATTTGTTGAAGCATTTAACACTAGGTCTAACCCATCAAATTAAATTAAAATGCGACTGGTTGTGGACAAAATGAACAGAATTGATTTATTGAGTTTATTGCTGATGCTTTTCAAAAATAACATTGAATTTGAAGTGAGAAAGGGGACAAACATTTGAAAGATAAGCAAGAAATAAAAGTAGAAGTGGGGTTGCTGTCAATAAAAAACCCAATGACACAAAATATAATCAAAAGCATATAGAGGGTAACATAGTCTAACCAAAAAAGACAGACATACATGTGTATAATGCTTTAAGCTGTAAATCATCCAGAGTTCATAAAAATTGTAAACAAATTAAACAAATACTATCTAATATCTGCCATCAACACCAAATTCCAAAATAATAAGAAAACTGAGATATGATAAAAGAAAACCACAGGCAAAGTGCCTGACTTTAATGTAACAATTGTTTTTACATGGTCTTATCACCATAATCACTCCCCCTTTTAATCTTGATCTATCGACAAACAAAAGATACTCTAAAGAATATATACATTAAATGTATAATAAAAATCAGTACAGGAAATGCACTTTACTATAAAACATTGGTATAAGATTGATTAAAGTAAAATTTTACCTGTACAGAAGTTTTAGTATTTAATGGAGGTTAGATACATGTGAAGTAATGTATTGTCTTAAATGAAGAAAATTACAATAAAAAAAATCTGGAATCAAATCTGATTTGAACTCATGGACTGACCGCAGATATAAATATAGACTTAACAATGTACGGTTAACCTTAAATATTTCATAATATTAAAAATGAAAACATTTCATGAGGGCAATTTTAGAATTTTGTTCACTTGGATAAGGATTATTTGAATTTCGTTTGGTTTTATGGAAGCTTCAATTTAAAATCATTATTGCAATCATATACTTATTTGCATATTTGTGTGCCTTTTATACATCCAAACTGTTCATTACAACCAAGATAACTTTCTTTTTGATGTTTCAAAATCGAAACTGAGACATAAATCCTGCAACTTAATTGTGCTTTATTTAATTAGAAAAATTCCCACTTTTAAAGTCCTGTTTCTTCAAGAAAAAAGCTGAGTACTTTACTGTATTAAAGAATGATAACAGTCACTGAAAGCAAGTACAATGCAGTTGACCGGCTGCTGTCCTTCACTTTACCCCCGGGACAAAGTTTTAGGATTAGGGTTACCCGGTAGTCAGAAAAATTGCAACCCCTGCTTTTAAGTTTGCCTCTGACAAAAAATTTCATGCTCAGTGAAATTTATGAAAATTCAAGGTATCGTCCAACAGGAAGTCACTGTCTGCCCAGCAGATCTGAAAATTGCTTACAAAGTACAAACTCAAGATACAAAAATTGCAGACCAAATATCAAATCATTCCTTAATCAGGTTTTAAAATACAATATGTCAGTCATTAATTAATGAAGGTTGGTACATGTATCAAAAAAAAAAGGTAAATTTTTTTCTGTAAATTGTCCAGGATAGTAAAAATTATATTTTGGAAATGATTTACATTTATATATACATGATATATGTGGATTACCATACCATGGATCACTGACACAATACAGGCCTTAATCTGAGAATGAAAATTATATTTACATTTACCGTAATGCTATAAAATCACCATAAATGTTTTTTATGACATTTTATGGACTTTGTTTCAATGTTCGAATGAGTGATTCCCCTTGGACATGAACAAATAAATAGACTATGTTTTAAATGTTACATGCACAATTGAAAATTGGGTATGTCTGCAATAGGAATGTAGTCTTAATTTTCTCCTTTTTCTAGATCATCTCATAAGAAAAATGAATTGTTTTCAAAGATGATTGTCATAGAATTATGATATTTTGTTTTATACATGTAGACATACATGGAAGAAGACTAGCAGTATATGTATATTAATTTTACTGAATGATTGAGGGATATATATTATCAATTACCTGCATACTTAGCTACCAGTTTGTATTTTGTATATATGTTTCCAGCAATGTGTTTATAGCTTTATGCTTTTTTTTTTTTTTTTTTACAGATGAAAACATAATGTCAATGAAAGCTAGAATGAGAAGAGAGATGGAGGCAGAAAAAAAGGCATCAGAAAAAATGCTAGCCCAAGCCCAAGCCATGCAAGGACCAGTGGAAATAGAAAAAGATCATTCTTCTGTGATACCTCATGTTTTATATACCTGTCCAGATATTGGGCCAGCAGTGCTTCCAAAGGATGAAATAGATGCTTATATTCATGAATTCCTTCTTAGTCAGCTCGCTGAAGAGCCAGAAATGTCTTCTGCAGTTATGATACAAACTTTAAACAAAGACAGAGAAAAAGTTAGAATCTGTGTAGAAACTTTAATTAAATATTTAGACAATATTACAAATAATCCTGGTGAGGAAAAATATAGAAAAATAAGGATGTCAAATAAAGCATTTAAAGAAAGAGTATCTCAGTTAAATGGTACAGACGAATTCTTACAAGCATGTGGATTTCAAATTAAACAGCTTCCATTTGAAGATAATGAAGAAAACTTCTATGTAATGTCGGGGGAAACTGCAGAAGATGTTGAAAGACTCAATGGAATAAAAGAAGTTTTACGTGCAGCTGAACCAATACAATGTCAACTTGATCGTGCTTTGAAAGTTTTTCACCAATCTTCAGGTTCCTCCAAATTTGACATTCCTGAAGAATTTTACGCTATAAATCCTGAAGAGTTTAAAAAAGAACAACAAAGAAGACAGGAAGCTGTGGAAAAACTAGGCATGTTACGTACCAAAGCAATGCGTGAAAGGGATGAAATGAAAGAGCTACGTAAATACCGTTTCACTCTTATACGAGTAAGATTGCCAGATGGTATTCTTATCCAAGGAATATTCAAAGCTAATGAAAAATTATCTTGTTTGTATGATTTCATACGATCATCATTAGAAAATGACTGGATGCCATTTATTTTACAAACAAGCAGTGGTAGTAAGTTGACAGAAGAGATCAAAACTATGGCTGAGCTTGGTTTATGTCCTGCAGTAGTGTTACATTTTGTATGGGATGAATCTATAATGAAGGATGTGCATGCTGCACAAGGAGGAGGAGCTACAAGTTCTATTCTGAAACCAGATATCATGGCTCAAATTCAGTCTTTATGAAACAGCAGCAAGAAAGTTCTGTTCTAAATTGCATAATTATCACACATTTTCAGTCTCTTATTTCAAATTTACAACAATATTCAAGAGAATAATATAACATTAATTTTAAATTATAATTTATTATACATGTTAATTCAGAAATTTTTGTGACATACAGTCAAACCTGCTACAAAATCACTTCTATTATGTGAAAACTTGTCTTGTCCGGTCACCTTCTTCTTGTCCTGCTGTAGAAATACATATATCATATTATATATTTTACACCTTAATTCAAAGTTCACCTCTCTTATAAGGTCAGTTTTCTCTGCTTCCAAGGTTAACTTTTATATGCAGATTTGACTGTACTTATCGATATGGAAAAGGTGAGAGAATTAGTAACTTGAAATTAGTAATTAGAATACTAGCTTGTATTCCTTGAAGTAGTTTGCATATTTAATCTGGTCATTGTGTTCCTTGATAAATAATACAATAATAGATGCACAAATTATTTCTGAATTTCCAGTATAATATTAAGTTATTTTGATACAGAAAATTAACTAATACATGTAGTGCATTTAACTTTGTAGTATAGAAAAAACTATGAAAATGACGAGTTTCTTTCCCTATTCTATTGTTTTCTTTTTTATCTTTTTTTTCTGTAAGAACAAGGATTTGTATATCTTACTATATAAATCCTTGGTAAGAACAAAAACATTCCCTATTTATTTTCAGACACTGATAAAATTATTAAAACAGAAAATCATATTCTATAAAAGGAAATTTATCAGAATTTGGAGAAATGTTTGGTTTTTATTTAATATTCAAAGCCCATTGATAGGGATACATCATCATCAACAGAATAAATCTTTAACCTGGTGCAGGAGCTTCTATGTCAAATTTTAATGAAAAAGGATTCACAGAAGTCTCAATTAGATATTGATTTCATAAACAATTCTTTACCATGTTAATAGAGGGGTATATTCATTATAATGAATTGCACCATTCAGTGCACTACAAATGATAAACAGTTGACGAGGAAAGTCAAGGATCATGGATGAACTCTTTTGATATTTTGAAAATTATAATATATACATGTATTGTATAAAACTGCAAATCATACACTTGACCAGTTGCTGTCATTGTCAGTTCGTTCAATCAATATACTTGTTATTGTTACCTTAATACTAGTCAATTTTTTTAACACTAGACCTTATGGAAAAGAACCGTACATGTAACAAAAAATACTGTTCAAATCAATTATTCATTGAAAACGTTTACATCAGTTTTGGAATTGTTCAGAATATCTCGTTCTGAATGAAAGCAATGGCTGACAGTGTAAAACGGTTCAAGGTGGAATCTTACAAAATACATTTTAGAGGGGTGGAAGGACCTCTTTTCTGGTCAACAGATCATGCAGATTGGGCTTTATTTTTTGTGGGAGTTTGGAATTTATACTTATTGGGACTCCAGGAATTAATGAAAAATTTTGGGTGGTCTGGGAAAGGATGCTTAATTTTTACAGGAAATTGGAATTCAGCATTTATATTTTTTATTTTTTCAGGAATTCAGGATGACACCCCCTCCTACCCAACATTTTAAAATCTCTGAAATGGCAGGATAATCAGAACCAAACTTGGGTCTGTATTCCTATTAACTTGTAATATCTCAGACTCTTTATACAAACAACTTTCATTGCCACAACAGATCCCTGTAAATAAGATATCATGTAGACATGCCTTGTACAAAAATGTAATATATGCTGGATGTAAAGTTAGTACACTTCCCTTTTAACACATTCTATAGGAAGTAGTACTGTAGGTTATCAAGTTTCCATCCAACTTTTAATACTTTTCGTGATTACATCCTATTTAACAAGAGTCTTATTACTATATGCTGTATAGTTTCTTTAGCTTTTACAGTAGAATATATGATGTAACCATGTTTTTCTTTTTCTGGATAGTAGAAGCCTTTATGTTCAAAGTTTTAATAGTGTTTATAAAAAAATTTGCGCTGGAGGGGGCATTAAGTTATACCCTTGTCTGTCCGTACGTCCCAAAATGAGTTTCCGTTCTCTAACTTTTGTTTGCGTTAACCAAATGTTATGAAACTTATACACAATGCTTATTACCACAAAACACAGATCAGGTTTGAATTTGGGTTGCATTACTTTTACTGTTCTTGAGTTATGTTCCTTTATAACATTATATGCAAGCGAGGGCATCATCTGTGTCCCATTGACACATTTTCCATTCATTTTTAAATACAGTGCACATTGTTTCAATTGTTGTATAAGTATATCATTTGTTATATGCTCTGATTTTGTTGTGCTTATGTTTTGAAATATATGTATCTACATATGTTTAAAATTGAATAAATTGTTTCTGTTAAAGTAATTCTTGTGTTGTTGTATGAATATGTACTGTCTAAATTTAATTTGCCCTCTTAATTTGTGAAAAGTTTACCAGACAACAAATAAACTGACTATAACTGCTTAGTGATGGCAATAACTTTCATTGTCTGTTGGCCTTAGTGATGAAGTTTGTTACATCAATCAAGACATATCATCATTTACTGGTACTAGTTTCCAGGATATCATATGCTATATCAAACCCTCAAATCAATTGCATATTTGTTATCAAACCAACACTAAAAGTCTATCAAAGAAATTTACAGAACACATCAGAAAGCTTAGTATTCTCAATATATAACAAGGGGCTTCTTAGGCCTAGTGGTCTATATCACTAGCCTGTCAACCTTGAGATTGTCAGTGTGAATCCAGCACGTGGCAGGTGCACTCAAATCCAATATTAATTTACTAGGATTGTCAGTTTTCCCACTGAAGGTCTGTGGTTCTCTCTGGGCACTCTGGCTTCCTCCACCTATAAAAACTGACAGCCACGAATTAGCACAAAAGTACTGAAAGTGGCACTTACAATCAATCATTTAACATAACAGAAATTTAATATTTAATCATTTCATTTTAATATGTATTGACTAATTATACAATTTCAAAAATAGCACTTTTGTTCTCAAATCGAGGTAACATTAAAAATGGTATGCACTAGAATCTGAATTCAATTTTTTTGTATTGACCTACCAAAACACCTCTATGTTGGCAGGTGTGCCAATTAATGGATAGTATAATTTTCTAAAGGCGCGAAGAAGATGAAATATTTTGTAAAGGTAAATAAAGGATGTGAGATAAACGAAAGTGCCTTTTTAGATAGTACTGGCATACTTAACCTGATAATTACCTGGCAAAAAAAATGCTATATTTATCATTCATACTCCTAAAATATTATGATGTGTCGCTCTGCCTCAGCAATTATATCAAGAGACAACTGAACATCACTGATATGACAATATTAATATGTGATGTGGTGTATACACCAATGACAGCAACTCAACAATAACATTGAAAACAAGCAGCAATCAGGATTTTGTTGCAGGACAAAGGATTACAAGGCGGCATACATTTATTGTATAAAGTTTTATTTTTCACAAAGAGTAGATATGGATGCTTTATACCTTGTATGCAGATACCTTATGTTCAGAAGTTTCTGTCTGTCATGTGTCAACTGTCCTTGACATAACTTTCATGCTTCAGTGACTGTTTGAAAAAAATGAGTTTACCGGTATTTGTCATGTGAAATACTCATTTGTTATGAGTAATAGTAGAACTATATTTGGTATATAGGTTTCTTGCAAGGTCTGTCAAACAGTGCAGTCTGACTAAAGCCAGCCCAAAATAAACTGGCTTTAGTCAGACTAGATTAAACTGACCTCAACCTCATTTCATGGATCAGTGATCAGTTATGTTTTCATGGTCAAGTTGTATCTCAGATACTGAAAGCAATAGGTTGTAAGGTCTACATGTATGTCTGGCAGGTTTCATATGACTGTGACCTCATTTTCATGGTTCATTGGTCAATGATTAGTTTTCATGGTTTTGCCAGTTTATCAGATTTTACAAGCAGTAGGTCAACTCTCTTTGGTGTATGGAATGATTGCCAGGTGAAAATGTCTGTCTGGAAGGGATCATATGACCTTGACCTCATTTTAAAGGTTCATTGGTCAATGTTAAGTCTGTTTCTCAGGTACTAGAAGTGATAGGACCACTGAATTTAGTGCATGGAATGTTTTTAGGGTGTACATGTCTTTAAGTAAAGCATTCAAGACATTCTAAGTGTGTGCACTTTTGTTTTTAAAACCAAAGACTATAAAATTGGTAATTGCTGCTTCTCGGTAACTGTGCAGGATTAAGGAGTAAGACACATTGCTAATCAATTCAAAATTCTTGGACAATGACCTAGAAGGCACGGCCTCAAATTAATGTTCAAACTGATATGTACTGATAGTAAAGCATCTTTATAGAAAATATCATTGACAAAAGTAATTCCTATCAAACTGACTTAAGCAAAAAAATTAACATTGAAAATTGCTAATTAATATAAAGTCTGGACTATGACCTAGGAGGCATGGCCTAGAAATAGTTGCCAAACTGATATGTACTGATAGTAATGGAATTTTATACAAAATATCATTATCTATCACAAGTAGTTCCTATCAAACAATTTTTGTTGCATCTAGCGCCAACATAGCCGGAAAAAGGAATACCTATGTGTTGCTTTCCACCTTTCGTCGCAGGCAGTGAAGACAAAAATGTTCAATATTCAAATTGATGCCAATTTTGTTATCTGACAGTTACATCATATTAAAATTTGAAAAAACATTGGTTTAAAGGTTCCCAAGTTATGGCACAGAATAGCTGGAGATGCTGGCCAACAAGGCCTGCTGCACATGTACTACCCCAAATTAATAACCAGATTTTTTTTTGTTAGAAAGCCGGGTTAAAAACCAAAAGACAAATAAAGGTCAGCAAGTGGTATTCCGGTACCTCGAATAACCGAATAACACCGTTATTATCAGAATAACACTTGTAATGACCGAATAACACTTAAAAAATTTAATATTAGCACATTTTTGTGACTTTTAAACATTGATTAATAAATAATAGTATATTATTGATGTATTTTATAACTTAAAAATGATTTACAGAAAGCAGGTAAGTTCATAAAGATTATTTTAAATATAGTGTGTCAGTTCTGCCAACTTTTAATAATGCAAATGTGTGAGATTTGGCCAAAATCGTAAAGATCAAAGAGAAAAAACAATAGATCAAAGGAAAATGTCGCCAAATAAGCATGAAAAGGTGTGAGTCTCACGCTTAATGCGTGAGACTTGGCAGCCCTGGGTGTGTACATCCAACATGGCGACCAAGGAAATCACAATGGTCGCCATGTTGGATGTACACACTAAATTTAAAACGATCTTTATTAACTAACCTGCTTTCTGTTAATCATTTTTAAGTTATGAAATACACTTATAATATAATATTATTTAATAATCACTGTTTAAAAGTCAACAATATGTACTAATATTAAAATTTCAAGTGTTATTCGGTCATTACAAGTGTTATTTGAATAATAACGGTGTTATTCGGTCATTCGTGTTACCCAGTGGTATTCTACACAATACATCAATCACTACACTAAATTGTCTGCAGTCTAAACAAAATTATTAAAAAAATTTAGACTCCATCTTAGATCTGCCATTTAACACCAAATTCATTGTAAAATATCCAAACCAAAGCTTTTAACCTGATCACTGAACCCCCAAATCTGGAACATAATCCTGATTTGGTACATATTTTCTTTAGCTCACATCATAATAAATATGTGAACTGAGTTTCAAGATAATGTTACCACAACTTCAATATAGACTACCTTAAACGCAAACTTAACCCTGATACAGGACAGACAGCTGGATAATACACAGACAGGAAAACATACTGTTCCTCTACTATTATAAGTGGGTCATACAAATTAACAAAATACAAGCACTGATCATGAAGATGGCGGGTTTAACAATTTTTTTTTTATCTTGACCCTTTCTTTTTATATACATTGATCAGCAGAATAACAAAAGGTGCATATGAAAGAACATACAAAGAAAAATCAGTAGAAGAAAAGCACTTTACTCTATAATACAAATGTAACAGTATAATAGATAATAAAAAAAATTCATACAAGCAAAATAATTATAAACAATACTGTATCAAAGAAAGCTCACAGACCTTTTAATACTGAATACAAGGTTAAAGGACTTAAAGGGGCATTAGCTCAGCTGTCAAATTCATTTTCACCAATTTGACTCAAATTCTCGTATTTAATTAATAACCTACTAAAACGTATATCCAACTTACAAAAAGTCTAAAATGAAAAATGAACAATTAATAATACATGGACTCGATAATATGTTTCCATATTTCGTGTGTATTTTAGTTTAGACGCCATCTAATTAACTATCGAAGTGACTTCCGAAGACTGCTGATGTCATATAACCCGATATAAACATAAATATACATATAAATAGATAGCAAACGCGTGCAATTGGACTTTTCTAGGTCTGTTTGATTTCATATTCATAGATTAAACAAATATACTAATCATCGTTATTACCTGTATAAGAATGAGTTTTTGTGGATCGAATCAGTCAACCAAATGATTTCCTCTTGTTTCACTTTCAATGTTGACATTCTTTCCCTTTTAATAGCTGAACACGCCTAGTTCATGTGTAACCCATCTCTAGCTAAGGAGTTTAATAAAAGGTCACATGAATACGGATCCAATGAGGTCGAATTATTCACTTGCATTATTCACTTGCAAGTGAATAATTCATCAGCGATATTTCTTATCTTATTATGACAAAAGTGAACCAAACTTGTTGCTTAAAGCGAATTATTATTTCACTATTTCACTTTCATTAATGATTGAACAAAAAAAAAATCATATTTAATTTTTTTTATATCTCATAGCTAATGCCCCTTTAAACCCGATAGTATTAAATCATGCAGGCCTACACTCTAATGTTAGTGGATGTTCTTCAAGGGAAGCAATAACTATAAAAAAAAATTGCACTGCTAACTGACTGCATCTTTGTTGAGAGAATACATTTTTATTTCAAAGGTTCAAAATTCTAGTATTCTTGGAGGGACAAAAAAACATGTACTATTGTTGCTTATCTTTCACCTATATAAATGTAAGTAAATATTGTAATTTTTAAATTTCAAAGCTGTGCTTTGCATTTGACTTTTCATCTCAATAAGACATAATACAAATTCAGTATTAAAAGACAAATTGTCAGGATTTCTGTATAGATATATATAAATAAAAATACAAATATAAAAGGCTCTACAAAATTAATCTTAAGCTGATGCGGTCATTTGTTCCTACATTTTTAATGTGACTAGGTGGCATTGTTTTTTCTGATAAAGTCCCCAGAATAGCTCAAACTTAACTGATTTTTACAAAATATTGCTAACTCATTTGATGAAACATGTATATATTATAATAATAATAATAATAAATTCTTTATTTAACGAAGGTAACTCATTTAACATACAATTGTTAATCTCACACAAGGCCTTCACACATTAAAATGAACAATACATATAACAATCAATGCACATAACACAATAATCAATTGAGATTAGAGGTTAAACATTCATTCTTTGGTGTAAATATTTTCTTCATTTGCTCTTAATCACTAAAGCTTGTATATCCATTACATTTGTGCCTGTATGACCAATTAGTATCAAACATTCTTCACTTATTTTCCCAAATAAATTAAATGTGTCATTGTTTCGTAAGTAAGTCAACGCATCCATATTATTGTCATTACATTTTTGTATAAATGTTTGATCTATCACTGCACCAGCAACTGGAGTTGGTCCATCTATACCGTCTGTTCCACCACTCAGAAATATTAAATCAAAATTAGCTAGAACTGATGTATCATTACGACATTGTTTGTCTATTTCCAAAGCACAAGCAACAACCATCTCCTGATTTCTTCCTCCTATTCCTGAACCTTTAACTTGTACTGTTGTCTCCCCACCAGTCAGAATACATATGGGTTTTTTTATATTATAAGCATGCTGAGCCAGAGCAACTACCTTTTTCAAAGTTTTCTTTGGAACCCCTTTTGTCACCAGATCTAATTCCAACTGAACATAGTCACTACTTTTTGGATTTGATACTTTGTACCCAAATGAGAGTGCAGCATATCTTGCAAGCATTCCAAACATTACACCAACTTTACTTGCCTCACCATCAAGAACAGAGCTTAAAATAATAGGCAGGAAACCAAGTTGTTCTGCCTTCATTGAGGCTGCGGCCAGTGCCATTTTGTTATTTCCAACAATAACATTTTGAACATGTTCCCACTGTGTTCCTCCAGTGTATTCCATAGAACCTGTACTTTTAGTAATTTCCCTTGTACGTCTTATAAGAAGAGTGTTAATTGATTCTGGTATTTTGTCTTGTAAATTCAATTGTTTAAGAATCATCAGACATTGTTGTGGGGTAGACTTGTCAGCCACTGTAGGACCACTGCTGATTATCTCAAGCTTGTCTGCTATAACATCTGACACAATCAAGGCAATGACCTTCAAAATACACAAAACTGGATTAAATAAAGTTTTAAATTTTTACTGATTTTAAAACAATTTAAACTTTTAATCAGAAATGATAAAAATTTATTGTTGTACAACTTTTAGTTGGTTACTCTTAGTCCTTAGTTGATAGGAATTTTTTTTATGTAAGTGAAAAGTTCGTGAGCATCTGTACAATAAATATATACATTGTATGACAAACAAATAGATATGATGACATCTTACTTTTAACAATAAACAAATTATATCATTCTGATATCTAGACTAGAAATTGTCCATAATACAGTTGCAAGTGCCAATATGGGCTTGGCCTGTCGCCCAATCTAATTCAATTTATTATGAATAAAATATTGTTTAAATCCCATTAGAATAATACAGGTAGCTACAATGGAATTCATCTTCCTTCCATCTTCAATGGGGTAGACAAAAGAAATCTTTGCAAGTTATACATTTTTCGTAATAGTGTAGGAATAGGTTCTTATAATTGTTCATTTTTTAAAAGCTGGATACTTAAACTCATTATAGAAACACCACAGTTTTTGTCGTTTTTGCATTCTAAGAACTTTGGTGTCTTATTAAAAGAAGAGAAGACCAGGAGGATCTATATTTGGCCAAAACAATTAAGACTTTCTGAGAGATTCTAAAAAAGGCAAACATTTTAGATCTACAATATGCAAATTGAGATTATGTTTCTTAAAGTTGATAGCCTGATACAGGTTATGTTCTACTCATATATTTTATGATGGTATGATACTAAACCCCTAACGGGAGGGATTATCATTGTGCTTGATTTTCATATGATGAAGACATAATCTTTCAATCAGTTTAATTGAGGTCTGGAGCTGGCATGTCAGTAACTGCTAGTAGTCCTTTGTTAATTTATGTATCATTATCATTTTGCTTAGTTTCTTTTGTTACCTATTCTGACATCGGACACAGACTTCTTTTAAACTGAGTTTTACTGTGCGTATTGCTGTGTGTTTGTTTATTCTACATTGGCTAGAGGTATAGGGTAGGGTTGGATCTCACAAAACATGTTTAACCCCGCCACATTTTTGCGCCTGTCCCAAGTCAGGAGCCTCTAGCTGGCCTTTGTAAGTCTTGTATGTTTTTTAATTTTAGTTCATTTATATGTTTTGGAGTTTAGTGTGACGTCCATTTTCATTGAACTAGTACACATTTTTGTTTAGGGGCCAGCTGAAGCCTACCTCCGGGTGCAGGATTTTCTTGCTGTGTTGAAGACCAATTGGTGGCCTTCGGCTGTTTTCTGCTCTTTGGTCGGGTTGTTGTCTCTTTGACACATTCCCCATTTCCATACTCAACTTTATAAATTATGATATTTTACCAGTTTTTAGCTGCAGTTCAAATTAAAATCCATTTTTAAGATCTAATTCCTTCTAAAAAAAACATGGAACAACCTGGATAATGGCAGAAAATTAAGACTGCCATTTGGAATAAAGATATTTCCTTTTTGAAGCCTGTATTGTGACCTATAATTGCTTCCAATAGAATAGAGTACTGTCAAAACATTACAAATTTCTGTTGTGGTCTTAGTGATGTCCATAATTTAATATCCTTCCAACTTAAAGGGGATATCCCTAAATTTAAGAGAGATTTTATCCAGTATAGAAGCTTCAAGGATTTTGATAATGAACAATTTATTAAAGATTTACAGTCATTAGAGCTTGAAAAAATATTGCAGTTAATTGTGTAGACAATGCATATGCAAACTTTGAGAAAGATTTTCTTAATGTTGTTGACAAACATAATTCCAATGAAAAAGAGGTAACCAATAGTATCACCAGCACTTTTTATGAATAAGAACTTAAGAAAGGCAATTTATAAAAAAAGAATGTATTATAATAAATTCCAGAAATGTAAAACTGATGCAAACTGGGAAATGTACAGAAAACAAAGAAATCTTGTAACCAAAATGAAGAAAAACTCTATAAAAACATATGTTTTTGAAAGAACAGCTGGTGGACCAAAATCCACCACTTTTTATCCAACAATTAAACCATTTATATCAAATAAAGGTACAAAAACAAATAACATAATTCTGTGTGAAAATGACAAAATAGTTAGTGAGCCTAAGAAAGACTGAAATATTTAACAATTTTTTTTATAAATGTTGCCAAAAACCATCCAAGCATAAAACAAATTGAGAACAGAATAAGTAAAGAAGAACTAGTTTTTAGACCAGTAACAGATGAATTTGTCAATAAACAGATAAACAAATTAAATGTAAACAAGAATGAGTCCATATAGTACACGGATGCCCACTCACACTATCATTTTCAATGTTCAGTGGACCATGAATTTGGCTCAAAACTCTAATTTGGCATTAAAATTAGAAAGATCATATCATAGGGAACATGTTGGACTTCAACTTCATCAAAAACTACCTTGACCAAAAACTTTAACTTGAAGCAGGACAGACAAACAAACGGACGGACGAACAAACGGACGCACAGACCAGAAAACATAATGCCCCTACTACTATCGTAGGTAGGGCAAAAAAGGCTACAGGGTATGATGGCATTTCTTCTAAAATCATAAAGCTAGTACAACCAGCTATTGCAATTCCCATAAAATTGTTAATTAACAATCTTTTGAAAATTCAGTCTTTCCAGAAAAACTTAAATCTGCCCAAGTGGCCCCAATTTTCAAAAAGAACAACACCCTTCTTGTTCTGGTTTCGGTTGTCAAACAGCGTTATTAAAAATTATAGAAGATTGGAAAAAAGCTCTTGATGAAAATAAATATATTTGTGACCATCCTAATGGATCTATCAAAAGCCTCTGACTGCTTGCCCCACGATTTACTTTTATTAAAAGTAGAGGCTTATGGCGTTTCTGATAGCTCGTTAAAGTTATTTAAAAGTAACCTGGAAAATAGAAGGCAACGTATAAAGATTGGCAACACTTACAGTGACTGGAAAATACTGATAAAGGGGGTCTTGGACCAGTGTTGTTTAATGTCTTCATCAACGATATTTTTTACTGTGTTCAAGACAGTACGATTTATAACTATGCAGATGACAATACCCTGTCTTACTGTGACAATAATGTAGATAATTTAGTTAAAACACTTGAAAATGACAGTTCAAAAATGATAAAATGGTTTTCACAAAATTTAATGAAAGCTAATCCAGACAAGTTCCAGGCCGTTGCTATTGGGAAAAAGACAGAAAATTATAATTTAACTTTTGATTTAGAAAGCAATATTTCATTTAATGAAGATGTTAAACACCTTGGTGTAACAATAGACTTTGAACTAAATTTTGATAATCATATCTCTCAAAAAAGCTTCACAACAACTTAACATTCTTAATTGTATTGGTAAATATTTCAACAGGTTGGGATGTCTAACAGCTTCCTACTCTTTCATTCTTTCAAATTTGAATTATTGTCCGGTAATTTGGTATTTCTGTAGTAAAAAAAATACACAAAAAATTGAAAAAATTCAGGACAGAGCTCTCCTTTTCATATAGGACTATATAAGCAGCTATGAAAATTTACTTTTGACTTCTAAACTTCCATCTTTAAAAATTCACAGACTTAGAACCATTGGAATTGAAACATTTAAAATTGTACACAAGAAAAGTCCAAGTTATCTTCATGACTAAATCAATATAAAAACTCAACGTTATAATTTTAGATCTAAGGATACAGCTGATATACCGAGAGTAAACACTACAAGATATGGGCTAAAATGGTTCCGCCATAGTGCTGCACAATTATGGAATGAGCTGCCAAACAACATCAGACAGGAAACTTCTTTAATTCAATTTTCAAATTTAATACAGACCTGGAATGGATGCAATTAGTGCTATATGATTTGAGCTTAGATTGGCTTTTTTGCTGATTTTTATGCTAAATTAGTTTGCTGTGATTTTATAATTTATCTGCATGAACAGTATTATCTTATTTTGCTTATGTGCTTGAATGCTTGCTGTTTTATGTCTTATTATATGTATGTTTGTCTTAATATGTGTGTTTGTGTTTGTTTGCATGTCATTTTGTTTGTGTGTAATGTATTATAATGTCGATTTTAAAAGCTCACTAGAGCTTGTGTTACTTTGTTAGCAATGTATCGACAATAAATAAAACTTTGATTTGAGTTGATTAGATCATCTACGTCATTTGGTCTCTGGTGGATTGTTGTCTCATTAGCAATCATACAAATCTTTTTATTTTTATGTTTTGTCTTGCAAAAAGCCACCTACAAAATCATGATAGAGTTGTTGCAAGGGTTCTTTAACCAGCAGAGAGCTTGGCAATCTCCCTACATAATGCATCTTACTTTATATCCACATTCTAATCAGACATGGCTGTGTATTTTTACAACCGGAAAAGCAAAACAGATGCATATTCAATCATGGGTTTTATTGCAAATGGGAGAAGTCCAGGTGACCACATTTCTCTACTTAAGTCAACCTTTGGGATGCTAGTGTATTTGTTTCCCTGTCAGAAGGTTAAATTCTGTATAAAATAATAGTCGCATTAACCCAAAAAAGATTTATAAACTTATACATGTATATCAAAATAATTGGTTTTTAAACTTATAAAACTACTGATTAAAACACATTATACATGTTCATCAATTATTCATAAAAGGAAAATTCTTCAAAATTGTATTTTTAATTTTACCAAATACTATAACTGACCAACAGAATAAAAGCAGGAGATGTAAATACCCTAGCCTTTTGTACACTCAAAATAATCTGAATATTATTTTATTTGGAAAGAGAAAAATTAAAAGAATCTTATAACAACACACCTTTGCTGGAAAGGCTTGTTTTGCCAAGCCTCCACCTTTTAAAACTTCAATATTTTTCCTGAGAATATTAAGCTCATCAATATTAGCTCCATTTTTAGACATAATCTGAGTAAGTTCCAATTCTTCCTCTAGTGTAACTGGTGGTATTGGTAATGGCAACAAAGCAGATCCGCCTCCTAGATTAAAAGGATAAAAAAAGACTGACTGTATATACATTTGAATTATTGTGCATCCTACATTTGTTTTCTAATGTTCTCAAGAATAATGTTGTTACAATATAGGTACTAGCATATGGTATATCTCTCCAGTTTAAGACACAACCCTTTATTTCTATTCCCACCTGTTACATTGTTCTATCTAACATTTGAATATTGAAATATAATGATAAAGAAATTTTATGTTGTAACTTATTTCTTTACCACAGAAAAGGTTTTATTTGGAATTATTTGTAAAAGTTGCTATATAATTGTCTGTTGTAGTATTTTGGTCAATTGTTCAGTTTAAAATTTCTAGGTATTTTACAAGCCATGGTTGAATACGAACCAATTTCAAAATTATTTGGTTTAAAATTTAGTCTATGTTTAAAATCTGTAAGTCAGTGAGGCTTGTAAATTTTTTTTATTGGTGCAGGTCACTTTTTTGGGATGCAGAGTTATCCCCCCTTACAAATCCATTCTTTGCTAAAAATTGTGAAATAATAAGCAAAAATAAATTGCTTCGCTGAGCACAGCTGGATAACACCACAGATGTCCAACCCTGAAAAGTTGGGGCCGAAATGGACACAATATTCACACTTGATACAGGTCTGAATTTGGATTGTAATTAAATTTTTGACACATAATAGGTTTCTGACACAGAATAACTGTAGTCAAAGAACTTCAAATTGGTTATATGATTTGAATTTATATTCAATTTTTTGCTTTTGTGCAATACACTATGCGAATTGCACCACCCCCCCCCCTTCCCAAAACCAAAAAAAATTTTACCCCGTTTTGCGTTTGTGCAATACACTATGCTGTTGAATATTAACCCCCCAAAAAAAAATATTTGAAGAAGTTTTCTTTTAATTTCTGAAATCAGAAATGAGAAAATTGTCCCCCTCCAATTTTTTCCCCCTCCCCTTTCCCTTATTCAAAAAAATATTTCTTTCCCTCAAGTTATGGTCAGTATCGCAGACAATCATCATTTCTTAATACATAATTTACAAGCAATGTAAGGGAGGTAATCAAACATTGCTATTTAAATTGATTTGGATTTTGATTTGGATTACCTCCCTTACACTGCTTTTAAATTGTCTCAATTGTCCTTTAACCAGAAAAACCCTTGTTTTTCCCCTTTTTTTGCCCCTAATTCCTAAATGGTTTGAGCCATAACCTCACAAAGTCAATCCTAACCATCCCTTTGTAGTATGGAAACTTGTATAATTTCAGAGAGATTCATACATTTTAACACAAGTTATTGTCTGGAAACTACAAAAATGCTTATTTGGGCCCCTTTTTTGGCCCCTAATTCCTAAACAGTTGGGACCATAACACCCAAAATAAATCCCAAATTTCCTTTAGTGGTTATAAACCTGGCGTTAAAATTTTATTGATTTCTTTTTACTGATACTGAAGTTATTATCTGGAAACCATCTATCTTCGGACGACGCTGACGACGCTGACGATGACGACAACAACCTGTTACCAATATACGACCAAAAAATTTTTAATTTTTGCGGTCGTATAATAAAGAAAAATCTGCAAAATAGGATTTGAACAGAATGTTTGGGTAAAAATTATTTATTTAAATTCTTAAAAGTTGTACTACTTCGATAAAATACAAATTTTCCAAGTTTATAATTTCATAACAATAGCCATCTTGAATAAGGAATTATGACATGACAGTTAAGTAAAGAAAATAGTAACAGTATTTTTTGCAAATGCATGATATGAACTAACAATGTTATCAAAACAATTTTTTTCTCCAAAATATTCCTGAGCAGAATATGCGTATTCTTTTTCAGCTCAAACATTATAAGGTACATTGTATATGTTAAAAATAGCAACCCAATGGCACGAAAAACCAAAGGACATCTAGAATTAATTCATTCTGCTGCCAAATACATGTAGGTTTATATTTTATTTTTTAAAGACACCTAAATGATGTTTGACTGGACATCAGCCAAAATTACACTTTTTTGAAAAGTAACAATCCAAGGACAATTCCATTCAATCTTATTTCAAATTGTCACAACTAAAAATAAAATTATGGTTCATGATAGGACCCAACTAAAACAAGTATCCTTACCATCTGAAAATCAAGAAGCAGACCAGTGACAAGACTTGTATATTTTCTAAATATACCTGATATCAAGACAATAAGGAGATCCTTTTCTCTCAGTTTAGAAACCAAATCCTGAATTCTCATAGCAGTTTGGTACGAACTTTTATCTGGCATGTTGTTTTTAGATCCTTCTCTGACCTCTATTTTGCTGTTAGAATCGAGTAACATATCACTGCAAGAGATTATAACATTAAGAAATAAATTGAATATTTAATTAATGAAGACACACTTTTTATATATTGATTGTATACATGGTATATGCAGGGTAAAACTCAATGAAACAAGACCAAACATCACAATAAAACAAATCAAATATGATCTTCAATGAAAGAAAAGTATTCATACTGTATGTCCTTGTTTGTTTCAGGTTAATACAATAAATATAGCATTTCATACTATTACATGTGTGCATGATAAACACATTAACTATAGCCTATAAAATTACAAAAAGAAGCATACAATACTTATAATTACATTTTATGCCATAACCATGAAATTGTTTCTCTGTGCATTGTTGTCATCTAGAGCACATGCAGTAATAAATATTGTATTTTGTTCGGAAATAAAATATAATTTTTTTAATCCCTCATGATAATAGCCTGCAATTCAAAATTACAGATTCTTATAAAACATTTTTGAAATTATTTCAATTTATAATTTAAGAACTTGCATCAATATAAAATTAGGTTATCTCCCCTTCTCATGTTTCCCATCTGTAAATGAAATGTACTAAGGGAAGTTTCAGAAAAAAAAAAGTATGAGGGTCTTTGAAGACACTTGTATAGAAATGTTTATTGGTCGCTTGGTCTACAACATATTTTTAAATAACATTAAGTGTGTTGTAAAAAGCAATGAAAATTAAAAAAAATCTCAACTAACAAAAGTTTGTTAGTCATGAATTTCTTTAATTTAAATTTTCCTAGCTGATGAAAAGCTAGTTCATATCATTAAAGGTAAAGTACTGGTTAATGTATATAAAAATACATCTTCCTTTACAATAAGGAATACATACGCACTAAAATGAAAACCAATCATTTAACCCCACCACATCCTATTTGTACCTGTCCCAAGTCAGGACCCTGTAGTTCAGTAATTTTCGTTAATTCATGTCTGTCATAATTGTTTTTTTTTCGTAAATGGTTTTTATGATATATCAGGTCTATTTCTCATTTGAATTGTTTCACATTTTTCATGTCAGGGCCTTTTATAGCCGAATATATGGTTTGGGTTATTCTCATTGTTGAAGGCAGTACGGTTGTCTATAATTGCTTATATCCACCTCATTTGAACTTTGGTGGATAGTTGTCTCATTGGCAATCATACCACTTCTCCTTATTTTCATATAAACATTTAAATATTCATTTCATGGAAGATGTGTTTCACTTGCCACAGTCTGTATTCCATTTCTTATTTTAATGGATTCATCAATGTCAATTTGTTGATAAGGCAAACAGAGGAAATCAAAAAGGTCAAAAAATGAAATACAAATTGCATAGCTGTAGTAACTATGAAAAAAAATATGCAAATATTTGGTATACCTGTTCAGTTGAGAGTTGTTGATATGAGATTTGCACAATTGGAATTTTTGTTTTTGGCTATGGGAAAACCCAAAAATAAAATTAGGTAAAAAATAAAATTTGTGCTGAAGGGGGAGTTTATGGATTAGAAAAAAGTTTGTGAACACGTCACTCTGAACATGTAGATCTTAAAGGCTATGGAAAATGTATGAAATCATTGTGATTTAAAAACAGCTAGAATGTTTACAACTTTATTTGATATTGTAGAAGGTCCTATAACAACAACACTTTAAGGAATTCCTTAAAGTGTTGTTGTTATAGGACCTTCTTAGGCTTCTACATTTTATGTTTTTATCGTAACGACCCTGCATACCTGTGGTATCCACTTTATGGAATCTATTGACAGAAGATTTACCAGGCGTTGGTTCACTTGTATTTAATTTATTTTATATTAAAGAGTACATGCCATTTGTTTGTTTTTTGTCAGGTTATTTAAGAGAAGCTTCAGATTTACAAAAGTGATGTCATGACCAGGATAACAATGCAGAAAATTATGGAAGATGGATGACAATAGACAGTGTTCAATATGTCAATACTACAATACAAAAACAAATTCATCATAGCATTATACTTACAGCTTGCCAGCATCTCTGAAATTTTCCTGAATTCCTGTAGGTACACTAATAATACCTCTAACTATATGCTGTGATAACGTATCATCTACTGCCCTGGCCATCCCCAATACAGCCTTCCCAAAACCAACAACATAAATATTGTTATCTAATTTATATTTTTGTTCCTCAATGACCAAATTTTTTCCATTGTGATCCAACTGTATATGATTCCGTATCAACTGATGGGGTAATACAGAGTTTACAGCAGATGAAAATATAGACACTACATCTTGATTAGCCATCTCAGAAGTGTCCTTTGTACAACTGATGTATGATGAGAATTTGTAAAAATTCAAAGTCAATCCATTGACTGGTAAATGTGTAAATACTCTAGGTTGTCTGTGCTGTGAAATGAATTTACAGACGGGACAAAGCCAACTGAGGTACCTGTTTAATCAAAAAGAAAACAAATATATATTTTTATAACAACGCCCTTTTTTATTTATTGGTATGATATAAATGAACACAACAGCAACTTCAAAACATATTCCAACTGACTGACTCATCCCATTTCAGAAAATACATTTCAGTGGTGTTTCCACAGCAAAATGGATGTAACTTGTCATGCACCCACCAAATTAAAATTTTATGTAACCTTTCACGTAGTATGTAAACCTCACTTTTAGTTGGTACTTATCTTCAAAAGAATGTTTTTCATGTTTTGATAGCCTGCACTGATTACCCAATGAGACACAACATAATTAGTTAATTGCACATTTATTTTATATAAACAATTGTATTGTGCGCATATATTTCAAATGGTCCGAGTACACAGTTATCGTCCTTTGATTTTCGTTGTCCACGAATAAAGTCCCTAGTGTGGACAGTGTGTTGCTTGCCAATTTTTTTAGTACCCCTTCCAAATGTATTCCTTCATGTTTTATGCCTCAAATAGCAAGTAGGGGGATGAAATTACACTGTAAAAAAATTTGGGTCATGAATTGTAAAGTAAAGTAGTGATTTGGTCCAGCTGAAAAAGGTTAAAAATTAGCACTTCGGAAGCTGTCAAAAGATTTCAAGACCCCCTTAACATAGAATTGTCCATATTTTGAGTTAGAGCCGATGAAGTTTTCTATAATTTTGATATGATTTGTCCCAAAAGTAGTACAACACACTGTAAAAATATTATTGAGAAAGCGCAGGTGGGATTTTTTTTATTTTCATTTATTGTCTAAAAGAAATGCACTACGAAATAACTGTGTACTCGGACCTAAGAGGCGAAATCAGTAAATATAGAATCTGTACTTTGGCAACTTCCCTGAATGATTTAATGGTGTCAATTTGTCAGATAGCATGAAACTAAAGGATTTAGACTTTTATTTGATAGAAATTCTGCAAAAATTACCCATTTTAGCATTATATGGTCAAAATAAGCATTTCAAAGCTTTTTCAATTTTGATGCATAAGTGGCATTCTGACTTTCTATGTGACAGGTTTTCCTGTGTCAATATTTGTGTTTCTATGCTTTAACCCAGTTGTATTACTCATTTGTGAACTCTGAATCTACAGAAAATAAGATTATCTCAGACAATATGTGCAAAATGTGTTGTATAAATGACCCTCGTGTAACGGCCTGTTTGGATCAAGTTAAATGTGAGGACCTAGGTACATAAAAGTTGAAGTCCATAATAAAGATTTCACTAAATTTGTATTAAAAGCACTTCACAATGTCTTTTGTACCTGTTTCATTTCACATAGTATCTTTCTTTTCTTATGTTAAATAGCAAGTGGTTCAAATATAAGCCTGCTGAGGCTAAAATTGCATGCAAGTTTTTCACTAAAAAGTGAAAAATCTTTGTATCAGACCATACTGTCTGCAAAAAAAGTTGAATGCAAGAGTCCTTTTATGCTCAGATTTATTGTATCATGTAACCTGAGTATAGAAATTATAAAAAAGACACAAATTTTTATTTCCTATAGCTTCAGTATGCATTTTTAAATGTAAATATGTGCTACGGCCTAAATTGACCCTAAATTATTTTCAGTCTTACTTGGCTTAAGACCCTTTTATACTAATATGGTATGCTATTTGTAATTTTTCTTTCAATTTAAAGTACATTTAATACATATGTAAGGATTATTTATAACCAAAAAACTCCACAAATTTAAAATTGCTGGAAAATAATACATCTTCATGTAAGGCCCCCCTTCATTGGAAAACCTCCATTTTTTGGCACAGGCTCATATAAATTTGACTTTTAAATAATTGTGATAAGTCTGATAAATCAAATGAGTATTCTATTGCTTTAAATACATAATATGTCATATATTAAGGCCTTTAAAATGTAATTTTTTGCAATATTTTGATTTTTAAAGCCCCAAATGTTGATAGTTGAAATTTTTCAATTTAAACGTCAAAATTTAACACGTGAAGTTGAATATAGAATTTATCATATTGTCTATAATATATATCCTATTGCCATGAAACTTTGTCAGCAGTCTCATAATTTATTAAGCTTTAGTCATACCAAGTTTTATTAAGATTGGTCAAATTTTTCTATCCTATTAGGTCCGAGTACACAGTTATCGTCCTTTGATTTTCGTTGTCCACGAATAAAGTCCCTAGTGTGGACAGTGTGTTGCTTGCCAATTTTTTTAGTACCCCTTCCAAATGTATTCCTTCATGTTTTATGCCTCAAATAGCAAGTAGGGGGATGAAATTACACTGTAAAAAAATTTGGGTCATGAATTGTAAAGTAAAGTAGTGATTTGGTCCAGCTGAAAAAGGTTAAAAATTAGCACTTCGGAAGCTGTCAAAAGATTTCAAGACCCCCTTAACATAGAATTGTCCATATTTTGAGTTAGAGCCGATGAAGTTTTCTATAATTTTGATATGATTTGTCCCAAAAGTAGTACAACACACTGTAAAAATATTATTGAGAAAGCGCAGGTGGGATTTTTTTTATTTTCATTTATTGTCTAAAAGAAATGCACTACGAAATAACTGTGTACTCGGACCAAATTGACTGATTCAGAAATGTAATGAGTTATCTTTCTTGCACTAGTATGTTGTGTACTTCAGGATCCACCTTTATGGAATTGTATTTTTGTTATTTGTTCAACATTTCAAATGGATTCAACTATATGATAAAGAATCCCACAATCTAGGCTAAGAGTAATTAATATGCCTATATTTACCCAGTTTCATAATTAAAATTGTTCTATGGGTGGATGTACAGTAAAATTTTAATAAAAATTTCAAAAGTGTCTCTATGGATGGTTCAATACCCCATTTTCAAAGTGCCTTCCCTTGGTACCTTGTATGATGTTTTAATGGATCAGAGAAACATAAAATAAAGACTAATTTATTTCATAATCTCTCCCTTTATTCCCAATATGCAAATCAATGAAATCCAATGTTGTCCAAACCAGACCTGGAAATCAATGAAATTTTAGCTGTCTCAACATTTACTTTTACTAAAAATTTACAAATTACTGTGAAACTACTTTTATTGCTGGGGCACCAATTTTCCTGGTTTTCGTGGATGGCTTTATCCACGAATTTAAGTGTCTGACAAAATATAACAACTGTTGTCCAAACAAGACCTGGAAAGATCCCCATGAAGGTTAGACAACTTGGATACAGGCATTCAATCTAGAGAATACATTGAACATCAGCAAACGCACTATGAACTATTATATACAACTTCAGACAGGATTTTACCCATTTATTCTCTAAAAAGCCTAACCTGTACAACTTTTAACCTTTTAATTCTCATCAAAAATTAGTTTTGATCGATGAAAGACAGACTTCCAGTGATGATATGCATATGAATTGTTCATTCTATCTCCTAATAATTTTTATACAAAAAAAAGAGTATAAATTCACATCGGGCTTGCTTTTTTATTTCATAAGAATAAATTCTACAATTCAAAATATATTTTCAGCATTTTTTTATGTAATCATTTTCTTTAATTGACATGTTAATGGCCCAATTAACACCTTTGATGATTGTTAATCTGTTGATCATTTGAGTTACGTTATAAATTAATTTAGTTTCATCACTTCCGATTACATGTACATGTGTGCAACAATTAAAATGTTTACTTTGCAATTTCCTTCAAAGAGACAATATTGTGTAAGTATAGATGAATCAGCTTATTTCTGAACAATGCTGAAAGCAATTATTTTCTTCGAAATTTGATGAATGTTGTCAGTAATGAAAGACAAAAAAATGATTGAAATTGAACACAATATTATGTAATGTCCCACAAATCATTGTAAGACAACATATGATTATTTTCAATAATCTTTGTTTCTGATGGCTTCAAATTCTTCAATAGATTTTTTTTTAGAAAACTAAGCCCTGAATTTAAGAACCCACAAACTTTTGCTCAAAACCACGAAAGTTTAGCAGTTCCTTTATAATAGTGTAAAATGAAAACCATGACAACAGAGATAGTATAAAAAATAAACAGCTGAGCCATGAGCGCAAGATACGCTCGTCGTCTTGTGTGTGAATTTTTATGCAATAAGCATAAATAGTTTCTGACATACAGCGTGACATGCGAAAACCCCCCTTTTTTAAAAAAAAAAAACACAATATCTCTAAAAAAAAATTTTGAATCAAAACCAAAAAGTATAGATCTTTAGATTAATATAACTAAGAAGTGTGTAAAACTTTGAGCAATAATCATAAATCGTTTTTGAGATACGGCACGACATGTGAAAACCCCCCTTTTAAAAAAAAAAAATAAATATCTCAAAAATAAAATTTTGAATCAAAACCAAAAAGTATACAGATCTTTAGATTAATATAACTAAGAAGTGTGTAAAATTTTAAGCAATAGTCATAAATCGTTTTTGAGATACGGGGCAACATGTGAAAAACCCCTCCCCCTTTTTTTACAAAATACTCAATAACTCAAAAATAAAATTTTGAATCATCACTAAAAAGTATACAGATCTTAAGGTTAATATAACTAAGAAGTGTGTAATGTTTTAAGCAATAATCATAAACTGTTTTTGAGATACGGCGCAACATGTGAAAAGCCCTCCCCCATTTTTAACAAAATACTCAATATCTCTAAAATAAAATTTTGAATCATCACCAAAAAGTATACAGATCTTAAGATTAATATAACTAAGAAGTGTGTAAAGTTTTAAGCAATAATCATAAATTGTTTTTGAGATACGGCGCGACATGTGAAAAAAAAACACACACCTGTTTTAGTTGCTAAGACCCGTAACTCAAAAAGTTTTTATCTTATTTTCACCAAAAAGTATACAGATCACTTGACCATCATAATAAACAACTATCTTAAGTTTCATGAAATTTGGATAAGTCATTCTCAAGTTACGGTGCGACATGTTTACGCCGGACAGACAGACGGGACGGACACCGGACATTTGTATACCATAATACGTCCCGTCAAAAATTGACGGG